CACTCCCCTCCCAGAGCCGGGGAGAGAACCCAGGAGTCCGGGCTCCCGGCCCCCCCGCTCTGACCTCTCTCTCTCTGCAGGGGAACAGTGTAAATATGACCCCTCGTTCCGGGGCCCGATTCGGCAGAGGTGAGTGACCCCCCCACAACCCCCCCTTCCTGCAGCCAGCCCAGCCCCCGGGGCCTCGCTGCCGGCTCTGCTCCCCCTCTCCGGGCTTCCCCCTTCCTGGGTCCCCGGCCCTCCCCTCTCTGCCCTCGGTCGGGAGCTCCCGGCCCCCCAGCCCCTCGGTCCCGGCTCGCTCATTCCCACCCCCATGTCTCATCCTTCTCCCCCCCCCCCCCGCCCAGGAGCTGCACCGACCTCATCTGCTGCGTCCTCTTCATGGTCTTCCTTGCCGGCTACATGGTGGTGGGAATCCTGGGTGAGTGACACCCCCCCCCCCCGGGCGACGGGGCCTGGCCGCAGGGCGGGGGGGTAGGGGGCTCTGCCCGGGCAGTCAGGGCTCCCCATTGCCCCAGGGCGGCGCTAGGGGCTGTACTGCAGGGGGCGGGGCGGGGGGCAGCAGGGGGCTCTGCCCGGGCAGTCAGGGCTCCCCATTGCCCCAGGGCGGCGCTAGGGGCTGTGCGGAGGGCGGGGCAGGCTCCAGAGGGTGGATGGTGCCCTGGGGGCCGGGGTAGGAGGAGTGGAGAGGGGGCTGGTGGGGTCCAGGCAGGGGGTCAGCGGAGTGGGGGGTCGGTGGAGCCGGGGCAGGGGCTCAGGGTGGGGCTGGGGGGGGCAGGAGAGGAGCTCCCTGGAGCCGGTCGCTCAGTTCCCCCCTTGCCCTCAGCCTGGCTCTACGGGGACCCACGGCAGGTGATTTACCCCCGGAACTCGACTGGTGCCTACTGCGGGATCGGGGGCAACGTGTGAGTACCCCCCTCCTCCCCCCACTGCCCCCTGACCCCATCCCCCAACCCCCCTCTGCCCCCACCTCACCCCTCTCCCTGCCCCCCAACCCCCTCTCTGACCCCTGCCTCGCCTCCCCTCCCTGCCCCCTGCTCCACCCCCCTGCCTCATCCCCCCACCTTGTCCCCCTCCTGCCCCCCCGACCACCCCACCTCATTTCCCTGCTCCTCTCTGCCCCCCCGCCTGCTCCCCGCCTCATCCCCCCTCCCTGGGCCGCGTCAAACCCAGGGCGTTGCGTACGGGGGGCGGCCACTGGCTCTCACCCCTTCTGTCATCTTCGATCGGTCCCTCCCGGGCCCCCGGCTCCAGCCTTCTGGTCCCTCTCGCCCTGTCTCCCCCCAGCCCTGTTGCCCCTCGCTCTGCCCGGTCTCCCTTGGCTCTCACCCCTTCTCTCCCCCCCGGCTCCTTGCCTCGTCCCCCCTCCCTCCTACTCCTCTTCCTCCCCCATCCCCCGTGTCTCTGACTCCCCCTCTCCCCCCAGGGGCAAACCCTATGTGCTGTATTTCGACTTGCTCCAGTGCGTCACCTCCCTCAACATCCTGGCAGCGGCGATGAACGGGCTGCAGTGTCCGACCACGCAGGTACGGCCCGGATGCCTGGGTCCTCTCCCGGGCGCGCTCAGGGGAGTGGGGGCTGGTGTGTCAGAGCAGGGGGGGGCTG